CTTCGGATGCATCCGAAGAAGTGGGCTGTAGTCCACGAAAGCTTATGCTCTAATAAATTTGTTAGTCTCTAAGGTGCCACAAGTACTCCTGTTCTATTTTAACTGTGTCATTGTATTGTGCTCAGAGAGCATAATTATAACATGATTTCTCTTTCCAGGAATGTCCTTACTGTCTTCATATAACCTTTTTCTGTAGTTCTTTTAAAAACTGCAAAATGATGTTATAAACAAGTTAAAAAGCCATTACAAATGAAGATATTAAAATGCATCTGTGAATAAAGTGCACCACAGTGTTTTTCTAAGTAAACCAGGGAATTTTTCAATAGATAGCACATCTTCAATACAATCCCAAACAGAATTAACTTTGGATATCTAACAGTTTCTTCCCCAGGTGCGGGGGTTGGGGGAGGAGTTGATTTAACTTTGCCATCATAGTTTTGTCTCTCTAGGAGGATGCTAAGCTAAAATTTAAATGAAAATTATACTGGTGAAACTTGGTGTAGATAAGGCCTAACAGACAAATTCAGCCCTGGTGTATGAGAGTGCAGTTCCTACTGAAGCCAATGGGAATTTGGCCCAGTATCTATAAGACTTCACTTTCAAATGCAATATTTTCAGGGAGACAGAAATTAACACAAAAAGACATTTGGATGCATTGTGTTACACTCATGAGATTAGTATTAGTTGGTTGATAGGGAACTGAGACACCAGTCTGTCTTCATTAGACTCATATTTATATGAAAGGCTGAGTTTCTTTGGTGCTTTGTTCATTCAAGTTATCCAACTGCCTATTTGTGTACTCTAGGCATCAGGTATCAATCTTCACCAATAAGTTGCTCAAGATTTTTCCCTTTTTTTGCAATTGGTTTATGGTAATTTTCTGTCCATAATAGATTGGTCACGTGTATAAATATACAGCATATATTTACATAAAGATTACAAAAATACATTTCATTTATATCTAATTAAGTAACAAAAATGAAATTTCACATTTGTTTAAAGATCAACTAGCATTCCAAAATCTTTGAATAGGTAAGGTCTTTAGAGCAAGAGACAGCTGTTTCTTCCAGGGTAGCTATGCATCACTATCTGGAATGAGTTTTTTTAATTTTAATTTTTTGAAAAAATAGCTCTGTTTTAAAAGTTTGTGCTTCAACAATTTCAACATCTCATTCCAATCTTTTCCTGTCCAGTCAGTTTTTTTTCAAATGGCCATAAAGCTAAACCAAGCTCCCATTCTCACCTCAGTAAAGACCAAAGAAACTCATTACGAAAATGGAATGTCCAGATAAAATAGCATATGCATCTGAAGCTGAATAAATTAACAGGATGAACAACATTACCTTTAACTTCACTAGCCAAACATGTCCAGAACACAGCATCCCATAAGCAACTTCAGTTCCCAAAGCTAAATTATTACTGAAGGAACTGGAAGTATTTTGCATAATCTCCTAACTATTTTGTGTGAGATTGCAAAAGATGAATACTGTCAAATTCAGCTGTTTAGGTTTTTGTGGAGGTCGGATTCATATAACAGTGCAGTATAACCTTTATCTTGAGTAGTCTACAGTCATTGTAGGTTCAGCAAATACCCCTCTTTTTCACAGAACAATAATATTTTGTTAAATCCACATACTTGTTTACTTATTTACACTTTAATGTAATCAGCAGGTCCTCTACATTCAGAATTTCCTACAGAGACTGAGAATTCTAGAGTTCGTGTATTCATTGCTCCAGTGTAATCAAAGTCAATCACAGCTTCAGGTAGCATTCTCTGGCATCACTTTACTAGATGTCATTGTTCAAGAAAGAGTACAAAGCACTATGTTAAATAGAGGTCTTCTTGTCAAAGCAGGTGTATTCATTATTCCAGGCTGGATAGATTTGCTCAAGGTTCTCAAATTTACCAGCTTCACAATGCATTCAGAATGAATACCTCTTGAATGTAGGACAAAACTCAAATAACCATTTTTCATTTGTGGGTTTCTGAAAGCTTTTAGCACCCACCTCCTTTGTTAATCTTCCTTCCCATCGTGCAGCACAGGCTCTCTTAATATTGCAAACACATTCTCTGTAACTCAACAGTGGCATTAGTGAACACTGAAGCCACCAATTACCCCAATACAATTAACTCTCTTCACAGTCTTCTCTTCTTTCTGGCCTTTGTAATCTTAATAGGATGAGAGCTGGGACTATTTACAGGGTACATTGTTTATATTACTTATTCACATCAAATTCTTGTGGTTTGAATGTGGTTTCTAGAAGGAAAGGACTGACATTGCTTTACTGCATTCAGCCCTGATTATTTTGTAATGAACTATTAATATGATCTCTACCATAGAAGATTTATGGCCTTTAGTTTACTCAGTACTACTGTATTTTCTTCTTTAATCACAGAAATAAAATTGACATGCAGAAGTTATTTTAGACAGTTCTACTTTTGTGCCCCTGATTCTTAATAGACTGTAGTATTACACAGACATATGTTTAATAGCATCCTAGTGACAAAGGGCTCATAGGACAAGAGCTAAGTGACAAACAATTGCATATCATAAATAGAACTTATCAGTATTTCCCTTATCCAGCAAACAAACAGAGTCTGTATCTTCAAGTCCTCTTGTTCTATTTCATTCCATTTCCCAATAACCTAGTGTTAATCTTTCAGGAGAAAAATGCCATCACTTTGGCACAAGTTGGAGCAAGTTTTTAACTGAAAATTAAGACTTACTTCCTTGGCTACAACAAGGTATGTGATACAAACACTGTGCACAAAGGTATTAGACCTGGAACTCAAACATGTCTGTTTGTTTCTTGGCCAGTTTAGCAACCTCCTCTCTTATTGCCTTCACTAGAGCAGCTGTAGAAATGTTGGTAAGAGGTGTGTCAGAAGGGTCATTTTCTGAGAGGCTATGCTGAGAAGCTGCAGTAGAAGGCAACGGAGCCTGTTCCAGACTAGGATGCATGTTTGCTGGCTGACTGTACTGGCGGGGAAGTCTTGAAGGAGAGTTATGTTGGTAGCGTGATCGTGGATAAGCCTCTATGTAACCAGGGAGTGGAACCTATAGAAGAGAGCAATCACACAAAATAGCTGGCCTTTAGGTCACCTATTACGTAATCTAAAACTTCAGAGAACTCCATGCAGTCGGATCCAAATGAACATATGCCTCTTGGGGCCACATTAACAGAAAGCAGACTTCATACTCATAGTGCCACTTCACTGTGTACATTTTTGTATGTGCTGTTTGTAAGCAACAATCAGTGTTAAGTTCCCAACTATCCAAATTGTGTGAACAAATTCTCTTCGCAGAGGAAAAAAAACACTGTATATGCTAAACTGATCACCACTACAAGGGCAGATAGATGCCTTGTTGAAAGAGAGTCCCTTTATTATTTTGTATGATTCTTTGCTTTCCTATAGCTGATTTCAATACGTAGATTTATCACAGTATCCTGAAAAATATCTAAGGCATAAATTATACTTAAAAAGCCAAGGGAAGAAGAAAGGAGTTTGCTGGCTTGAAGCACCACTGTCTAATCCACATGAAGCAAGCAGCCAGGTTCTGAGTCTTAACGCTCCCAATAAAAACTGACTGTGGACATAGCATTAGAGACAGGCTATCTGGGTCACTTGCAGGTTTAAACGAGTGTAAATGGTGGATTCTCGGTAACTTGAAGTCTTTAAATCATAATTTGAGGACTTCAGTAACTCAACCAGAGTTATGGGTCTACTACAGGAGTGGGTGGGTGAGATTCTGTGGCCTGCAACGTGCAGGAGGTCAGACTAGATGATCATGATGGTCCCTTCTGACCTTAAAGACTGAGAGTTTGAGTTCAGCACTAAGGAGCTGCCTCACCATTTACTAAAGGGAAAAACGAAGTGTTCAACCTATCTGCTAAAATTGGGAGGAAAGTCCTTTCTCTATATATCCTCTATACCAGGGGTGGCCAACCTGAGCCTGGTAAGGAGCCAGAATTTACCAATGTACATTGCCAAAGAGCCACAGAAATACATCAGCAGCTCCCCTACCCTGCTCCCAGCGCCTCCCACCCACCAGCAGCCCTGCCGATCAGCACCTCTCCCTCCCCGTACCTCCCGATCAGCTGTTTCGTGGGGTGCAGGAGGCTCGAGGGGAGGGGGAGGAGCAAGGGCACTACAGGCTCAAGGGAGGGGGCGGAGTGATGACAGGACCTGGGGAGGAGTAGGGGGGTTGAGCAGCGAGCTCCCCCCAGCACATTGGAAAGTTGGCGCCTGTAGCTCCAGCCCCGGAGTCGGTGCCTATACAAGGAGCCGCATATTAACTTCTGAAGAGCCACATGCAGCTCCGGAGCCACAGGTTGGCCACCCCTGCTCTATCCCCATCATTGCACAGCTGGCTACGTGCTTTATTGGACAAGGAGCTTTGACTTCTCTGAAACATCAGGTTTTATGGCCAAATTCAACCCCGGTGGAACTCTTAACTCAAATGCAATTATACCAGAGATGAATATGGTCCATTGTGTCAATCAGAAATAAAGGTAATTGGAAGATTTTATTCCCACATTGGACCAGATATGCCACGGTTACACTTCAGTTTTAGTTTGCCCTAACTCCATTGATTTCAGTGGAGTTTCAATGGCTTAAATTAGAGTATCAGTGAGGAATCAAGCCCTTCATCCCTATGGATACTAAATGTTGCTAGTGCAACATTCTGATCCTCAATGGCAAGCTCTAAATTCTTATCAAAAACTGAATTTGAGGAAGTTTTGGAACTCAGCTTCTAACTAATTGTATTTGTTTTGCAAACTGCCTAGCAAATTGGTAAAGAAACAACAGCATTTAATTTTAAGGGATGTTTTAAGCCACTGTATTTAAAGTTGTGGTTCATTTTCTTAATTAGACAAAGTAATTTTACCCGAGAAAGAGTTTACTGATACAGAGTAACCATTTTAAATCCAATTAGAAAAAATGAAAAGAAATCTCACTGATTTACAGACTTGAAGTGATTTGCACAGAATCCTACAGTCATCGTAAATCAATAGAAAAGCCATTAAAATGCATACACATAGAAAAGATAGCCTGATAATTCTTTTAGTTTTAATTAGAAAACAACGTGGGGCCAGATTTTCAAATGAATTTAGTTCCCATTTAGGCATCTAAATGAAGTCGCCAGATTTTCCAGTGTTCAGCACTCAGCAGCTTCCACAGAGAACAATCAGAGCTGTTGGATAAACCGTTGATAGCTGAGCACCTTTAGAAATTTGGCCGTTTTATTTAGGTGATAAATGGGAGCTCTTGGGCACTGAACTTCTGAAAATCTGCTCACTAAGGGATGGATTTTCAAAGAGATATTAGGTGTCTAAAGTTGCAAATAGGCGCCCAGTGGGATTTTGAAAAGCACCTAAACATGTGGGGAGGGGGGACAAACTCCTACTGAAATCAATAGGAGTTAGGCGCCTAACTGCTTAGGGCCTTTTGAAAATCCCATCAGATACCTATTTGCATCTTTAGGCACCTATCTTTGAAAATCCGGCCCTTCATATTACATATGCTCTGCAAAATTCAGGGTATTTCTGTCCACTTGATGCACAAAATATAAAATCCACCAGGCATAGTATTTGCTTGAGTACTAGATGCAAGTGGTATTTAAATACAGCCGAGAGGCTGCACCCCTTTTTAGTACAGAATTGGACTGATCACATAGCAAACATTCATACTGAACAATATATAAAAACCACTAGAGGTCACTATTTTACTGCTTTTATTCAGCAGCATCTGAAGATTTGCTTAGACGATCATAGCCCCACCAGATACATTTCCCTTCCTCCACCAAATATAAAGCTTCAAATCTTTGCTTTTCTTTGAGAAAGTAGTGCATTAAAGTAAATTAAGCTTAAAGTAAATTCTCACAATTTCACCAATATTTGGTGTTTTTAAAGCCCCACCTCCAGGAGGCATGTGATTAGTGGAGAATCTGTTTTCATTTTTTAAAAAGTAAGGTTCTAGTCCTCATGGTTTCAGAAAGAAAGCATGAAAACAAGTCCCAAATGCATTCTAAAGGCTCACAAACCAGAAGACAGAGAAAAACCTCCAAATGTTTTCTTTTTAATTTCATGATTTTTTTAACATATTGAATTGGCAATATTGTGATTCTATTCCATAGTGACAATTTTCAGATTCAGGAGGTCCCTGGGCATGATATAAAGCATTTGGGGGCAGGATCTTGGTTTAAAAAAAAGTGTGGGGGGGGATATTTTTCCACATTTTTTCTTTTCTTTCCCTTGCCTAGTAAGTAACCCTACTTCCTGGCTGTGGGCTCATAAGGAGATGCCAGCCCCCTGTTTACCAGGAGGTAGGGGCTAAAAGCTCTGAAGGGTAAATGTAGCTGAAGGAAATCTGCTGCCTTCTTCGCTAGGAGAGGGATTCATACCCCCTCCTGCCAAAATGATATTTTGGGAGCCCTCCTCATATACAAAGATAGGAACTACTGCATGTAACAGCTGCCCCAATACCGGTCCTGTGACCCTTCCCCTCCCATCCCCTCGCAGGCCTCTCTGGCCTTACCAGAATGTATCTCCTGCCAAAGGAAGGGATACAGGCTGGAGTGTCCCTCCAGCTCCATTCACCCTCTTCAGAGCCGTCAGTCCCCATTTCTTGGCAAATATGATCTGGCCATCACTTCCTTGGGCTATAGACAGAAAGTAGGACCATATGGAGCAAAAAGGTAAAAATTAAATTAAAATACTTATGTGTTTCAAAGTAGAAGTCTAAACTTATTGGTATAGTTCCAAGGGGCCTACTGAATTTGAAAGAGCCAGTAGGGTTACAAACCAGATTTACCACAATTTAACAACTAACATTCTCCTCTGAAAAGGGACTCTAAAAATGACACCACAGGGCACCATATCCCAAGGACTCCTTTTCAGAAGATGCTTTTTTGAATGGTCCGTGCTACAAATTCAAGCTGGAATCAGAGTCCAGCTGGGTTCTTTCCTTCTCATGCAGCATTAATAAAGGTCTGATAAGCCAAATGGGGTCCTAAGCAATACCTCTTTGTTTCCAGTAGAGTTGCATGGGGTAACTTATTGGCCCTACACTGGCAATTAATTAAACAATTCTAGTGATATACAAGAAGAAACTGAATCCATCTCCCTTCTCTGTTATAGCTGACTTGGTTCTGCAGTAACAGGAGTAAACTGAATCCACAAAGGGAGCAGATTTGTTGAGGAAGAAGTTACCATTTTTAAATGGTCACTTTACAGGAAAGTGGGAAAACAAAGTCTAATTGTGAGAAATGGTTTCAAATATGAAAAACTACTCAAGTTCACCTTAAGATCTTTGTATTTCTTTGGAATATAGCTGTGTCTTGTACTGTACTACAAAGCTACTTAAACTATGGACTGTCACACTAAATATTATAATACATTTTTGCTCACATATCTAGAGCATGAGTTAACCCTATAATGACCACAGCCTACAGTACAAACAGCTAATAATAAAACAACTTATTTTACTTTTACTGAACACTATCAGTTCTGTATCCTTCAGCTACTTACTCTCAGGCTCATCTGGGCTTAACTGAGCAACAGAAAGCCTAGTCTTTTTTTAGTCTTCTTTATAAAACATTCTACTTTTTACCAGTAAGGGAAATTAAAACTTCTCTCATGCTCCATTTTTGTATCCTCCTCCCAGTCTCATCTTCACACTCTCACCCATGCTAGTGAAACATTCCCATCTTTTCATGAGCTGACCTCTTGCTCCTCTTCAAATCTCTCCCCAAAATACAATTCTTCCATGAAGCTTTTTTAAAAATGTGAGATTCTTATACCACATCTGTCTCTCGATAGTATAAATGCCTTCAATCCCAGGCAATGCCCTGGCTGTTTTGTGCCATTCCCCTTGCCTGGGGGGATACTAAGGGAGTAAGGATCCACCATAGCAGCTCCTGTGCCTGTGACTGGAAGAAAGGGTATGGCATAGCCAAGGTTCCCTTGAACCTTTGCAATACACACCTCGTGTAAAAAGCCCGTTGGTGCAGGTTACTCCACGTAAATGGACTGGTGGCTTTTTGCTGATTTGATCCCAATACAGTTTGATGTAAGACAGTTAGCTATTTGCATGTTATATGTAAAGTTAACAGTCGCAGTTCTCCACTGCCTCTGAGCTACAATCAGACACAGCGGAGAATGGTGGCTGTAGGGAGCCAGTTGTGGCTTCCCAATCCCTCAGCTGCCCTATTCAAGCAGAAGTTAGAGCTCCCAGTGGGGGATCAGGTGCAGTGGAGCTAGGCTCCCCTTCCCACCCTGTCTCTGGCATTTCCCCAGCCTGTTCCCTCTTTCCCATTCCTATGACATCTCTACTAGCTTTACATTGCTGAAGATTCTCCTTACACAGGGAGAATTCTCCTGTCCAAATTTCCAGTCTCTTTACGTTCACTTTGTGCCACTTATGCCCTCTATGTGTAAACCATATAACATATTATTATATAGAAAAACAAGAACACTTACCGAATCTGCCCATTGCCCTGGTAATTCATTATCTCCAGCATAGGGCATCCAGGCTTGGTTCCTGTATGCTGTGGGTGGTGTTGGGATGAAATAGCCTGTGAATCCAGGTCGGTTTGCTGCTGGTATGGCAAACACTGCTGGTACTGTGTTTCCTATCAAGCAATAGGGCAGAGATGATTAATAGTTGATAATCTTAGCTATAAACCTAGAGGATCATTACAAAGTGTACCTGAAGCAGCCTGAGGAGCCACAATGAGTCTGTGTGAGAATGTGGATAACATCAAACTAGAATATGATCGCTCCTATCAGCGGCACAGAGCCCTTTTCTAAAAAGGCAGAGCATATTAGAGAAGCTAAGGACTGTATGTTGCAGATCAGGAGTGAGGTGTATTTGTAAAGTCGTCTCAGGAAGTATGCACCATAGTTGGTTCAGAAGGAGGGGAGCTCAAGGATACGTAGTGGATATGGCTAGCTTCTCCCTTCCTACATGGGTTGGTGGTCATGCCCCTAATACATTCATTATCTCATGACCTACCTCCAATATCTATCTACAACATTCATAGAATCATAGAATTGTAGAACAGGAAGGGACCTCGAAAGGTCATCTAGTCCAATCCCCTGCACTCATGGCAGGACTAAGTATTCATGAGGGAGCAGAGGTCTCTTTGTGCTGGATTTTCACTACTTTTGCCCCTTCTCCCAACTGACACACATATTTTGCCTTTGTAGGCCCAAAGAAGACACCTTAGGATCAGACCCATTCTCAAATAACTGATTTCTATTAAAGCTAAAAGTCATTACAAAAGACTAGTGTAACAGGGCACACAAGCCTCCACACAAGACAGGAAATTACCAGCTAAAAATAAGACACCTGGAGCTGGAAGCAGGCTTCCAGCGAGGGGTTTAAGAAGAAGAGCCCTGCTAAGCTGGAGAGGAGCAGGCAAAGGTAGCAGATGTAGAGTTCTTTCTGTGGGAGAGAAACTGGCCAAGGCCAAGATGATGCTTAGTACATCTCCTAGAGGAAAATACACTTCACCTAGTGTATTGTTTTTTTAGAGAATAACTGGCAGCAGCTAGTCCCACCTATTTTGTTGGCATAAAAAAAAACAGTCTTCCAGAGTGTTCTTCACAACGATGGCATACAATCTCTTCTGATGCCCCACCTCAGCCTCTGTTTTCAAACAGACTTGTAAAGAATGCTGCCAGGGCTGACAGATGCTTGGAGTATTGCGGAGCTGGTATGCTCAGAAATGGGAAGACTCAGCCAGTGCACTACAGTCTCTAGGGGAGTGCCCTAGGGGGCACTCAACACAACTCTTCAACCCAATTAAGGAGAGGAATTAAGCTTGGAGTGGAGCTTCATGCAGCCCTAGGCCGGAAGGATTGTGAATGCAATTCAGGGCTCATAAAGAGGTGAAAGATATGTTTTACAGATAACTTCCCTCACTAGGACCATTATTGTTAGGAAAGATTTATAGGGAGCTGTACCTTTACCCTGCTCTTTATAGTCACAGGGCTAGATTGTGGCAGTTAGACACAAGCCCCGAGAAGAGGGCGGTGTGGAACTGCACCACCGCAGGAATAGCATTGGGGATACTGTCTTAGGCAAGTACAGTCACCTTGGTGCTGCTCCCTGAACAAGGTGGTGTGCAATTTATACCAGTCATTGTGACTGGCACAGAATGCTACCTGCAGTTTGCCAGCCCATTTCCAGGAGCAAATAGTGAAGTGTTGGACCATTATCGCACCTCTTCCCCACTCCCTTTTCAGAGTACCTGCTCCAGGAGTTGCCAGGGTGGAGGGAGGAAGAGGGGTGAGTGCCTCTGTGCATCCCAGAACACACAGGGACTGGTATTGTAAGACGATGTGCGTGGCTGGGGAAGAAGCTTCTTGCTCAACCATGCACAGACAAGGGGCAGGGGCCATCCTGCACTAAAACATGTCTTCTGCCCCAAAAGCTTACCATCTAATTAAGGCAAGGCAAACAAATATACATACTAAGTGTACAATGATATTCCTGTATGATACCTTATTGTAATTCTTACTGCAATATAATCTGTAGTTTCAAATTAATTAGGATTACCATATATCAATCCTGCAAAAAGAGGACACTCCACAGGGCTCCGGCACCACCCCAACTCCATCCCTTCCCTGCCCCTGGCCCTGCCCCAACTCCGCCCCAGCCCCACCCCTTTCCCAAAGTCCCTGCCCCAACTCCGCCCCCAGGGTGACCAGAGCAAAAAAAAAAAAAGAAAGAAAAACGGTGGCAGAGGGAGGCCCGGGAAACGCAGGGGAGCGCGGGGCAGGGGTGAGTGAATACGGCCTGGCCCCGAGTGCAGGCAGGACTCGGGCATAGTACCTGGAGGGAGAGTAGGGGGCAGCCCGCGGGGCCAGGCAGCGGCTGTTCCTTCTCCCCACCTGGGCAGCCGGACTCGGGAGCAGCCGCTGCTGCAGCTCCCACTGCCGCGGAGGGAGGAAGCGGCCAAGCACGTGGCACTCGGCGGCTGTGGCTCTGGCGCCCAGGCCCGAACCCCCCGAGCCCAGGCCTGCTGTGGGGACCCAGCAGCGCGCACGCTGCACCCAGCCCCTGGCCAGTCGCGTCTGGGCTGGCTGCCCAGCTGGTGCAATCCCATGGGCGGCCCCGGGGCGGAGGCATCGGCAGCCCCGTTCGTTCTCCTGCGGGACCCGAGTGGCATGGGGGAGCTGGGGCCTGCTGCCCCCACTCCGGGGCCATCCGCAGGATTGCACCAGTTGGGTCCCCACAGCAGGCCCGGGCTCAGGGGGTTCACGCCCCGGGCGCCAGAGCCGCCAAGCGCCACATGCTTGGCTGCTTCCCCCCGTGACAGTGGGAGCTGCCGCAGCAGCTGCTCCCAAGTCCGGCTGCCCAGGTGGGGAGAACGAACAGCTGCTGCCTGGCCCCGGAAAGTTGGAGCCCAGGGAGGAGGCGGTCCCCTTACCATGCCTCCCTATTTTCCTGGACATGTCCTGCTTTTTGTAAATTCCTCCCGGACGGGGATTTAAGGCCCAAAAAGCTGGACATGTCCGGGAAAATCCAGACGTATGGTAACTCTAAATTAATGGGCAGGATTTTCATCTGAATTATGGCAACTTTGTGCTGCTCCAGGCAGAATCAGGATCTGGGACAATATATAGATATATTTAAAGCTGGTGCTTATCTAATCAGATCAGTAGAATCTCTTTGTCCCTAAATCATTCTGAAGTCACCTACTCTCACACTGAAAGACAAGGCTAGGACAACTCAAGCATTCTCAGCTGTTCCAAGTACTTAGAATACCTTAATATTTCATCCAAGGAGCCCATTTCATACAAACTTAAACCAAATATACACAGACCATTTTATCCTCTACTGGAGTGCAGCATCTCTGAGGAAAAAACATGTCATTTTCCTTTTAATACGGCACAGCAATAAATCTCCAGAGTACAGGAAAAGAAGTGAAGAATGTTACTCAGTTGAAACTGCAGGACACATATCCTGCTGAAGGCAGAATATATAAAAGGGGCACTCTAAAGTGTGGGATATTGTATACTTCAAAATGTTTTAAAATTATTGAGCCTCAGTGCTTCCTTTTAGATCCATATGTTCCACAGAAGTTACAGAAAACACATTACAGTTTAGGGTATCCACATTTTTATACTCAGTAGTACATGGTGAATAAGATGCAGATAACTAATACTTCTGAGGAGGCTGCGAGACAAACTGTTCAGAAACATTAAAGGAGCGATGTCTAACAAGCCTGTCAATTTCAAAACCCAAAGTCTCAGTCTTTAGAATTTAGAAAGCCAAATTTTTGTAGCTTTTCATTAATAGTTATATTTTGTCAATGGGAAGCCATTTTCCCAGGCAGATGTTAGCCAGCTAAATAGTGTCAAAACAATATGGCCCCTTGGTCTCTGCACTATTGTGCCTCGGTCAGGCACTATGCCCCAAAACACACAGAGGGAGCAAAGCTGTTGCATTACCCACTGACTGCAAGCAACCTGGTGTGTTGGGGAGTGGGGATGGGACCACTTCTTCCTATTCCTTCTGGGAGGCTCTTGGCTCATGAGTTCAGATTTCTGAAGCCAACTAGGGGATTTAGCTCTCTCAATTAGAGTTGTGAGATTAAATCTCAGTCAACCTTGAAAATGTCAACCATGTGCTCCAGTGTGTGCAAGGACTGTCGTCGTGCCCAGATCCTTGCACCTTTCTCTTCCCCTACCTTAGACACCTGTTCAGGGCCAAGCACTGTAAAGCCTACAATGGAGATGTTTCTGTGTTGCTACCTATGGCCTTGATCCAGCAAAACACTTAAGCACATGCTTATCTCTATGCACTTGGGTAGCGTCAATGCAACTATCCACATGCCTAAAGTCACAATGGGAGTATCCATGTGATTAAAGTTAAGTGTAGTTTAAATGTCTTGCTGGATCAGGGCCTGGCCTGGCCTGGCCTACACTAGACTGGATTTGCTGGTTTTTCCAGATCAGCAAATCCCCTATTGGAGATGCAAATTATGCCTGTAAATGATCTCCCCCCCCCCCTTTTTTTGGTATAGCTTACACCAGTTCCTTGAATGTAGTTAGCTATACTGCCAAAAGGTCTTTTGTATTGGTATAACTACATCTACACTAGGGCTTTTGCAGGCACAGCCATGTCAAATGGGGTGGAAAAAAATCAGCTCTATTGCTCATGGGTGTATGTCAGCAAAACTTTTAAGGGTAGGCCTCGGGCTAAAAGAACTTAAGTGAAGTGCAGAGGAGCCCTTCCTGTTGGGCACAGTACAGCTATTTATTTGTTAGTCATTCTTTTGTGAGTAGGCTTGTTAATATCAACATACTATCCCATACCAGCATGTAATAAGGGTTGCTAGTGATTTATCAGAGAACAGACCAACAAACTACCACCCTGAAGATTGGTGATTCAAAACCTCTTGATTTCAGATCCTCATAGCTAGACTCAGGCTTAGTGCAAGCAGCAAACAAAATTAACTACTAAAGTATTTTATTTCAAAGATTGGAAGTTTTTATAGTACCAAATTCAGAGAAATCCCCACCCTAACTAAAGTCTATCTTCTGATGATGTCTTCACTCATGGTGTGGTAGACTGTAAGTGTGTGTGCGTAGATGGGGGGGGATTAGTGAGGTCAACACACAAGTGGAGAAAGTGTTTAGATTTGTTTTATTAAACACAGAGAGCTAGGCTGGCTGACTGACTGATGTTACAATATTAAGTGGGGGGGGGGAAGTTCTCAGACTTTGCTTGAAGGGCCTGAGGCAGCAAAGAGCCGCAACTCTCAATGTGAGGGGAGTGAGCAGAGCTAGTGAGTCGACCACAGGAATTGCATTAAACTAGTGAGAACATGGGAGTAAAATAAATGCAATGAGTGCTGGAGAAGAGAGAGAAAGAAAGTCTCTCTTTGGGGCCTGACTTCCTCAAACATATTTCACCCTTTTATTCATTGTTTTCTTTTCCTCTTTTTCCAAGTGGAACAATAAGAAACTTTGTGTTTTGTTTTGCAAGCAGGGCCTTTCTGGGGTCAAAGGGCAAAAAACTCAAGCTCCCATTGACTCGTGTTTGTTTTGACCACTACAGACAAGGTTGCTTGTACTCTGCTGCACTCTATACCTACATTAGGTGGCAAGGTCCCCCCAGTTTATGATGAACAAGGCTAAATTATGCAGCAAGGTTAACTGATTACTAAGTCATTCAAGAATCTTCTCTCTTTGGGCTGGTCCACACTAACCCCCCAGTTCGAACTAAGATACGCAACTTCAGCTACGTTAATAACGTAGCTGAAGTCAAAGTATCTTAGTTCGAACTACAAGGTACTTACCGCGGGTCCACACGCGGCAGGCAGGCTCCCCCATCGACTCCGTGTACTCCTCTTGCGGAGCAGGAGTACTGGCTTCAACGGCGAGCACTTCCGGGATCGATTTATTGCATCTAGACAAGACACAATAAATCGATCCCAGAAGATCGATTGCTTACCGCCGAACCCGGAGGTAAGTATAGACGTACCCTTAGTGCATCACACAGTGAAACAATAATTAATCCAGGCTCTGACTTGCACTGTAGCAGAGGATACTAACAGTTTTGGTATTTCCACAAAGGTTTTGGAAACAGAAACAAACAAACAAAAAGACATTGTAAGCCACTTTTTCTTCCTGTCCTGCTGCGTGTGAAGTTAATCAGGAATAGCTGGTGCAGACTCTGACATGAGAGTTCTGTGAGGATGTGGGGAAATGTTATCACAATAGAACCTATAGATCCCAGCTGAGATTGGAGCCCCATTGCAGTGGGCACTGTACAAACACATCATAAGAAACAGTCACTTCCCCAAGGAGTTCACAATCTAAATAAAAGAGCCAGATAAAGTGTAGCAAGGGAAACAGAAGCAGAGAGGGGAAGTGACTCATTCAAGATCACCCAGCAGGTTAGTACTGGATCTAGGAACAGAACCCTGGTCTCCTAGTCCTGTGCCCTCTCTACTGGGCCACACTACCTCCCTTGAATAGGACTCCAGCTGCTCTAGCCTCTACTGTCAGAAGTTAATTCATCTGACTTCATAAAGTCATAATTCATTCCAGTGAATAGGGGGAAGGGGCAGTTGATATTTGCTGCTGCTGGGGATTTGAAACAGGACAGTGAGCTCTCACCACACAAGCCAAGGAGGAAGGGCAGCTCTTGCTATACTTTTAGCAGCACTGGACAGGGAGGCAGGGGAGCTCTGTGTTTAGGAGAGGTCTAGGAGCTGCATTTCCCCCTGCTCTCCCCTTATTTTAACCTTGGGTTGCTGCTATTGTTTGTTCAGAGACAGCATTCAATCATGCAAGGCTGGGAGAGTGGCAGGCAGATTGTAGTTCCTGCAGGTTTCAGAAGCTTTGCATGGCAACTGCCTCCTCCAAACCAGGACTCAACAAGTAGTGTGGCCATACTTGCTCTTGATGAACTCCCAGGCCCTTGACCAAGCCACACAATCTCCACTCCATAAATTCCACTGGTTTCCTGGTAAATACAATTATTTGACTTGGGCTTCAATAATTCAGAGCCTTGTTTAGTCGATTCCCAAGAGCAGTCAGAAGATATCAGATCACAGTTACAATCTGACTTGGAAGATGAGTCACAAAGATAACATCCAGACAAAGTTTAGAGGTGTCCAGATCCAGTTTTTAAGAGAAATGGAATCTGCAGTTATTCTTATGATACAGATATTGCAGTGGATATAAAGGGAATTCTTTGCTAAAGTTTCTGTCACTGACAAAATCCTCTCACTCTCTAGTTTCCAGTCCAATTAAACACAGTCTGTTATTTTGATGTCACCACATGGGGTCTCCCTAGCCCCAACCTAATTAGTTGCAGGATGGACCTCTGAATACAGTACAGGAGCCAGAAATCTGCCATATTGGAACATAGATCATTTGGTTCACTTACTCCAGCGTCCTGCCTATAGAAGTGGCTAGAACCTGGTATGTTAAAAAAAAAAAAGCATAACTTCCATCACATTACACCTGTAATGATGCATGTGACAAGTGGGGCAAGACAGGGTTCCCTATGTTGACCCTCAAGCCACCAGGAAAACCATTTAATAAATCCTTCTCCATAACCATAAATAACAATCTGTGCTTGCAATATCCCATACACTCATCTGTATACAACACAGATTGTGGAGGTGATTTCTGTTTGTACCACACTCGTTTTCACCTGAGTAGTTCAATGCTGACTGATCCAATGGACCCACAGATACTGGAGCTCTTGAACCTGGGGCAAAGGATGCAGGATCATGCTGTTGGGCCTGCTCTGTCCCACTGGATTCAGATATTCTTGTCTTGCTGCCAATATCTGATGTCGACCTGCACATTAAAAAAACCAGCAAGAACCTTTGGTAATTCTGACTGATAGGCAATATCCTCAACAAGGGTGGCAGGAGTTGCAAGCAGAAAACAGAAGGGAACGATTTGCTTTTTCTGTGGCATCCCTGGTTGCATGAACATCAATAGAAAGCATCTTCCTTTGTCCTTCGCCACTATCTTCTATAGTATTTTTTACAATTCTACAGCCCATTCACTCAACACTCCAAAATAGATCCCAGTGACACAGGACACAAAAAATACAGTTACACGGTATTTCAATAATAAGATACAACAGACAGTGCTGGATAATTACCACCTGGTGTGGTGTTATAAAGCAGAAGGCTGAGTGATTTTAGCTATGTGTAGAGCACTCTTGTCCCTAAGAAATGCCATGCATCAATTGTCTCCCAACATGAAATTTAACTGACAAAAATAAGCCAAGCAATGAGAATTATGCATTACCTGAGGTCATTATATCATTGTCAGCCAATCAGAAGAGCTCCATTAGTGTTTGGCATTCTAACAGCATTTCATAGTAACATCCAGCAGGCATACAGTCCTTTAGGATCATAGTATGCCCCAGGTGGTGTTATACAGCACATGGCTGAAGGCCAAGTGACTTCATCTACCTGAAAAGAGCAAGTGCCCTATGGCTTTGGCGGGGGGATAGCTCAGTGGTTTGAGCATTGGCCTGCTAAACCCAGGGTTGTGAGTTCAATCCTTGCGGGGGCCACTTAGGGATCTGGGGCAAAATCAGTAGTTGGTTCTGCTAGTGAAGGCAGGGGGCTGGACATGATGACCTTTCAGGGTCCCTTCCAGTTCTAGGAGATAGGATATCTCCATATATATATATATATATAAATGCAGTATTGCTATGGTGAAGCAAAATGTATAGATTAAAAGTAAAGAAAACAGACATGCATTTATTAGGCCTGAGAAACATGAGAAAGAAATATCCAACAGTCAGTCAGCAATCCCTGACTGAGTCCAGAGTTCCAAAAGCCATTTTATTATATATCCATATCATTTTCTATTCCATATGTTTGAACGACTTAGGGAAAAAAAGCGGAGAGGAAGTGAGTGTGAAATTTCTAATACTTTATGCAATATATGCCATTACGTCTTTTTAAAGTAGAGTCAAACCATGGCTTAAGAGATATCAGAGCATAGATTTGTTACATTTATTAGGCAACTGACTAGCTAATAGTGGAATATGGGATCCTTTGTTGTTTATTTTCTTCCACCATGTTGAAATTTAAGCACCGGAAATGAAAACAGATAGTTCTTAATTTCATTAATGTCTCTTCATTATGCGGAAGATGGCTATTAAATGCCACTAGAAGTTATAGTTATGGAGTCATTCTCATTAGAGCAATAGAGATTTACAGTTCTTGGCTATAACAAAATAACAATGAATTACCTCCTGAGAGATGCCACAGCCACAGGACCTGTTCTGGGAGGAACCGGGGGCGGGGGAGAGCCCATTACCATTTCAGGAAGCTGAGAAAACCTATATGCCTGTGAAAGAGAAAAATTAATATTTTCTAGAATATCAATTAACCGTATTTTAAAACACAACATCATGAGAACCTAAAAAGTGAAGATATTTAAGTTCATTCCAACAGTCCTTAAAATTGTATGTACACTTCTATAATCACTGGCTGCTAGGAAGTTAACTTTTGGTGTTGCCTATAGTAGTAGGTATTTTATTTCAGATTTTACAACAGGCCGAGTGATTTCAGAATAATGCAGAAAACATACACACAGATGGTATCACAGAGCTACAGCTGAGTAATTCAAAAAGAAGAAATAAGAAAATAATACCTCAGATACCATAACCCAACCTGAGAGGTAGATCCTTCACAATTTTGGAAGACTTATCTCTTCCTGAAAACCCCCAGAGAGAGAGAGATCACAGTACTTTTTGCCTCTCTGAAACTCAAGTGTTTTTAAGTCAGTATATCTGGAAGCATCCTCGAAGCAACCTATATTGAAATGAAACTGCCTGCAAGCAATTACTTGATATTTCAACTTCTTTTTTCTGGCCTTTGAGGTGTTTCCTCCCTCCTCCCCCCCCCCCCACCATTTTCTCCTAGGCAAGAAAACTAAGGTTCTTAGACCACAACACTCTAAAGCAATGAAAGTCCCAAATAAATCCAAAAAGCAAGGTAATTCAGAGAAACCCAGGATCAGACTGTTGGGTCATGAAATCTAGCATCCTGCCTCCAGCAAGGCTGGATTTCATCTCTAGTACATCTAGAGACTGTGCGATGCTTACTATTTGGCCATCAACTCATGGTCCAAAGAATGCCATATCACCTTTATCCATACTGTTCCTACAAATATTAGTCAGAACTTCATCTAGTCTGCTTGGAAATACAAGTGATTGTATATAATTCTGCTTAGCAGTAGATTGAACCTCTTCTCAGACACTCCATGATTTACTTTCCTAGACAAGTCTAGGTATTGAAGATATCTTAGAGCAATGTGTGGCATTACAGTTAATGCAACTGAACCACAACTAAAATGATACAACATGACAAGGTATTAGGAGACTGTCTAATGTCCTCAAACCAAGGGACGTGCTAGCCGCCCTTCCTACAGCTCCCATTGGCCTGGAGCGGCGAACCGCGGCCAGTGGGAGCCACGATCGGCCGAACCTGCGGACATGGCAGTTAAACAAACCGGCCTGGCCCACCAGGGACTTTCGCTGAACAAGCGGCGGCCCTAGTTTAAGAACCACTGTGTTAGAAGGCAATCAAGTGTTGTTGACTGGAAGACCATTCAGGTTAAATGGAAACACCTTAGTACAATGAACTGACTGCAGGCCAGAGGAACCAGTTCTCCCAGTTGGGTTCTTAACCAAGCAATGAATCACTTGATGAGGCACTTGAAGCCACAGGAGTCACCTGACCGAGGGTACTGAAACCTTATAAAAGGACTCTCCTCTCTCCACCAAATGGGGGGGGGGGGGGAGACCACAATAAGAACACAGACCCAGGCAGGTGGAAAAGAGGAATCCTGACCGCCCTGGAAGGATATTAAAATCCAAAGCCCCTCAGGCAGGATGAAGAAACTGAGGCATGGATTTATATGCAGGTTTTGTTATTTTTCTATAGATATGTATATCTCTTGTGCTGTGTCTAGGAATAAAGCTGGTTCAGAAATTTATTTGCGAAGTCTGTTACTGCTTTGACTCTCACAAAGCCCCAAAGAGGGGAAACCAGTCATTCAGGGAGTCCCCAGCTGTGGTGGGACTCTGGGGAGCGTGCAAGAATGAGTGGGGAGGCTGAGTACAGCTGGCACTAAAGAGGAAGGCTTGTAATTGGCTCTGACGTGGTTCAGACATTAGATAATTTGATTTCAGTATTAATATTTAATCAGCTCCAGGTTATCGATTTAATTGAGCTGGGTGCCATTTTTGAGTTGAGGGTTATAACCCAGTTAGTAGCTGAAAACCTGTGTTGTTGCATGGCTACAGTTCATGAGCCCATGTGCTTTAAAGAAAAAGGCCAAAAATTGCTGAGAACTAAAAAATTGGCCAGTTACAAACTGCGCATCTCAGTAATGATAGAACCTGTGATATTCCAAACAAAGCGCTCTCGACCATGCTTGTAGCTGTTTTTTTCACTTCACGCTGACCCCAACATTCTAGGCTTCAGAGTGTTTGGAGTTATTCTGCACGTGGGTTGAGGTGTGCTGTGCTGGGAAAGCTGGGTGGATTTGTGAAGGTGGCAAATGAGGTATGTGCTACAGAGAGGGCTTATGAGTTTGGGGTTATTGCGTGTGCTGGTGATTGTGTTGATTTGTGTCTAAGGGGATTTGTGCTGGGATATTTGTGTTGATTTGTGAGAGTGGCAGTTAGGCATATGGGTTTGGAAGTTGGGTCAAGTAATGCAGTCTCCCTCTTACAACCAATGAAACTGTTGCATGCAGATAAGCTGCAGAGTAAGGGCAGTAATTGGCTGAGTTACCTCTGATATTATCATGATCTAGGGTTCTTGGCATGGTATACATAGATGCCTTATTATAGCATGGGTGTAATTCATAAAGTCAAAATAGCTGAAACTTAAATTGGATGGTAACAGACCACAAAACCCAGTGATGTTTCAACCTGAACAAATAGAGACAATATTCTGAACAAAGAGAAGGTCTCAACCATGCTTGTAGCTGCTTTCATCACTTTGCACTGACTCAGATATCTTAGGCTTCGGAGTGACAATCCTAGAATCTTATATACCAGTATATATGAACAGCCACCTCTTTATATTCCTTCTTAGGGTTTACTATTGCATTAATCTAACTATTTAACTACATTGATTTCAATCTAATATTGATACTAACTTGTTGATTTGACCTTGATTTGATTTTGGTTTAATATTCAGTTTAATATTATTATTAATGGTAGCTTAGTTTTGGGGATATGTTTCCTTGATTTTAGTTTTAATAGTTGTAAAAGTTTACAAAACTGATACTGAGTCACATTTGCTTCAATAAGCAGCATGGGTCTAGAATCTTTGAGACGCTGGCTGAATATCAGCTAGTCAGAGCCGGACCATTTCCTCCAATTAGTCTTATTTCTCACATCAGAATCAGGCCCCATTTATCATTATCTTCCCTCTTTGCAGAGCACTAAAGAGGAGAGAGATGGTAGCTTGCCCAGAGTCCTAACTAACAAGGCTCTGTTATTCTGTGGTTTTCAGTTCTGGTCTCCAGGAAAATAATTGCCATTTTTCAAACTACAGTTCTCAGTGTGGTTCAGTCAGCTCTCAGGATTTCTAAAGTAGCAACTACAATATTAGTATCCTTAAATGAATGCTTGAAGGGGTCTTAACAAAAATAAAATAAACCACCAACTCAAACTACAGATGTTGGCCTCATAGCCAAACACTTAAAGATAGGCTCCAGCTGACCCTTGCAGCTGCATGAACTGCCTGAAAAACCTTATAAAGCCCCTACCGTGGTTCTTATTGGAATCACGCAGCTAAACACTACAATCTACTTAGAAAAACAAAAATGGCATTTTAATGTCATTTCCCCAGTTCTTATTTAGAAATACATTGGAGAAATTTCATCATGAAAATCCTTAGTGAAAATCCCGTAGATCCCCTTTATAAAGCATTAACGTTAAGATGCAGAGAACAGTATGACTAGTCTCTCTTCAAAAATATGTAGCCATATAACTTCTTTTATTTCACTTTAAAAAGATCTGCATAACTATAAAAGTAATTTGACTGGACACCTAATGACCAGCACAACTGCTAATCAGATTCCTACCATAAAAAATGATCAAATGCAGTATGAACTGCAGTAGAGGAATTTCAAAATGCCAAGAGTACTTTTATTGTGATTTAAATAGCATTTCCCTGAAAGTGAGCATTTAATACCACTGGCTTCAAGTTATCCATGAAGGATAGTTCAGAAAAAGTATCCCTTATTGTACACTCTTCTTACCAAGGAAGGTAAACATAGCAATGATGATTCTGAGTTGTAACAATTTCTCTCTAACTAATAGATTACTCCAATATAGACAGAGTCAAGAATCTTCATTTCTATTATAACTCTCGAAATGCCTTCTTTCAGAAAAATATGTACTCCTGGCAAAAAAAACTGCCATAAGAACAACAATAACTTTATCTTTTGATTTTTCTCTTTCTGAAGCAAATTCCCAGGTGTTTTCAGTAACTTCACATTCTTACAGAGCCTAATTTTTCAGTTTCATTGCCAGTAGCGGGGCTGCTGTTTTATTTACTTCACCAGACAAAACTAATCCCAGGTTTAGCTTTGCCTATGATACTTGTGAAAGAAAATATTTGTTTTGTGATGTTCAGATACAGTATAGTAGAACCTCAGAGTTACAAACACCAGAGTTACGAACTGACTGAACAACCACACACCTCATTTGGAACTGGAAGTACACAATCAGGCAGCAGCAGATATAAACAAAAAAAGCAAATATAGTACAGTACTGTGTTAAACTACTAAAAAATGAGAAAGCAGCATTTTTCTTCTGCATAGTAAAGTTTCAAAACTGTACTAAGTCAATATTCAATTGTAAACTTTTGAAAGAACATCCATAATGTTTTGTTTGAAGTTACAAACATTGCAGAGTTACGAACAACCTCCATTCCCAAGGTGTTCATAACTTGGAGGTTCTACTGTATTGGGGAGTTTAAAACAGTGATTTCCAACCATGAGCATGGACAGCAGTTCTGATACTGCTATCTACATGCTTTTCAAACTCCATCATTGCAGCGTCTGAGCACTCCAGTCATTCATCAATTTATCCTCTCAGTACTTGAGAGGCAGGAAATATCTACATGTTACAGATGAGAAAAATGAGGCACCGATTGACTTGCCCAAGGTCGCACAGGAAATCTGTGGCAGAGACCGGAAATAAACACAGCTCTTAAGTCCCAAACCATTGGCTTAAGCACAAGCCTATCCTTTCTAACCACACTTTGCGGTCCTTGCAACTGGCACACTAGGCCGTCCTGCCAAGATAACCCTCAGTCTATCCTAAGTATAGCTACTGTCAGCTCCCTGTTCAGCTGTGTATTCTCCAGCCATCTGTGAACATGAGCTTCTCCAAATCTGACTTTCCTAGTCACTAACTGGTGTGCTACTGTGTGAACAATGAATAAGAAAAAGCAGGTAAATGAGGCCTTGGTCTGATAAACTGCTACTGATGCCCCCATAATGTTGAGAACCACTGTTTTAAAAAACAAGAAGCCACTTACTGTACTTGTGTTGAATGTGTGGGATGAAATTAAATGTTGATAAATGCAAAGTAATGCTCATTGGAAAACATAATCCTAACTATACATACAAAATGATGGGGTCTAAATTAGCTGTTACCACACAAAGAGATTGTGGAGTCATCATGGATAGTTCTCAGAAAACATGCACTCAGTATGCAGCAGCAGTCAAAAGAAAGCTAACAGAACATTAGGAATCATTAGGAAAGGGATAGATAAGACAAAAAGTGTCAATGCCACTGTATATATTCATGGTACAACCACACCTTGAATACTGCGTGCAGTTCTGGTCACCCCCCATCTCAAAAAAAAATTATTAGAATTGGAAAAGGTACAGAGAAGAGCCACAAAAATGATTAGGGGTATGGAACGTCTTCCGTACAAGGAGAGATTAAAAAGACTAGACTGTTCAGTTTATAAAAGAGACTCAGGGGGGTACAATAAAGGTCTATAAAATCACAAATGATGGGGAGAAAGTGACTAGGGAAGTGTTATTTTACCTCTTCACATAACAAAAGAACCAGGGGTCACCCAATGAAATTTTTAGGCAGCAGGTTTAAAACAAACGTAAGGAAGTACTGCTTCACACTATTATGTAAACAGCCCAGATGAGGGGCCCATTATTAAAACGGGAAATTAGGAGTCTTCTTTTAAGTGTGTGTGCGCACACACACCTACAAATGTGCTTATAGTTACCAGAAGTACAAGTTCAGATGTGTTTCATGCACATGTACGTGGGGCTCTCGGTTTTAAAAACATAGCCCAGAACACAAGTATCCCCATGATAGTACAGTATAGTAAGTAATATTTTAACTTACTGGTCTTGGTAAGCTATACTGATACATTTCTGGTCTATATGTTGGCACCCACTGTACTCCCCCTCTGGGTCGGGTCATGGTACCAGGAGCACTGGTCACCACTTCAGAGTATGGTAAGTGTTGTGCTGAACTGTGAGCATCTTGTCTGTTCTGCCCTCCATGGCCTGCAGATGCCAGACTAAATGCCTCTTCCAATAGCATATGCATCTGTTGTCTAACTTCATCAATGGAAGGCTGAGAACTTAAAGTTGATGTCTCAGAATGGCCTTTAGCCTGACGGGATCTGGTATAACTTCGAGGTTCATTGACACGGTCAACATTTGTTTCTTCTATCATTTCAGGTTCTGTCTGTTGGATAAAATAAAAGCATTTTATATTCACACATGCTTATAAGAACAGTGGTCTGTGTTGCTTTTTAATATATTTTCTCCAACACAGATACATCAGAAGTTTCTCATGCCCAGGCACAAAATGGTATAATTCATGAGACCATATAAACTATATATTACAATTTTTACGTCAGTTGCAGCTGTGAGTGCCCAGAATTTCTGCATATCAGACCCAGGGTCTCAAGTTAGGCAACCAAAAGAATGAGGAACACATAATTAGTTACCACCTGTAAAAAGTTTGGTTTAAGTGATATGTCCAGCATGAAACAGGAACGCTGGCAAAAGCAGGGATAGAATTCAGTCTCTAGGACAGCTTTCAACTGCCTTAACCATTGAGACCATCCTTTTCCTTCCTGCAATTCTCTGCCTCATTCTCTACAGCCTTCCAGCTTCTGCAACAAATGAGGCAGAGGTCCAAGAGACAGTCTCTTTCACTACACAGTTCTGATTCATCTCCAGAGCATGTCCATTCTGTGCACCAAATAAGGCGGCGGGGCGCGGCGGGATGGGGGTCTTCTGGAAAAAATAGTATGACCATATAACTAAAGACTATCATAATGCACATGACAAGAGGCCCTATTTCTGGCATGACCTAACTTTTGAGTGCTTGACTTTGCAACCATAAAAGCTTTATTTTAAAATGTGTGTGTGTAACTATTGTGAAAGCTTTAATTCTTCCTCTCTTTCACATTTAAAGGGACATCATTAACTTTAAAAAACTCACACCTATTGGAATGTTTTTTTTTCCATCTAATGTAAGAAGGAACACCTAAGAGAGAAATACTGCTATTTTCATCTTTCTCATTTCATTTACTTTGTGCATTCATAGGACATCATTTTCTCACTTTATGGTTAGTCAGTTTCCTTTGTTTGTGTGGGTCTTCCACACACCACACATGAAGGAGAAAATCTTTTTTAAAAATAGGTAAATATAATTGTAAACCCAAGAAAACTGCCAGGGAGACTCAGAGGCAGGTGAAATTATTTAACTAATTTTTAAAAATTAGAGTTCAAGTTGACAATGTCCCTTTAATTCTTAGTATTAATGAGTCCAATGTGTATCAAAAGAGAGACTAGACCCACAAATGTTACAAAAACATTCATGATCACTTGCAACGGCCCCCTCAGCTCCATGTACTAAGTCTTCTTGTTCATTCTTGAGAACAAGTGTTGAATGCTTGACTTTGCAACCATAAAAGCTTAGGACGTGCCAGAAATATTTAAAAATATGTGTGTGTGTGAATAGCTGGCCAATCGTGTGCATTCCCTGGCTCTCTCAGTCTTTAAAACTCTCTGGTTTGTGATTTGGGATAAGATCTGGATTATTTGCAATGGGTGTCAGTGGTGAGAGGAAAAAAACGATCTTCTCTAATTCTATTCCAAATCCATAGAGTAGCCTTTGCGAAAGGATGTGTATACATTTATAGAGGTGTTTTTTTTTTAATCCATCCATGGTGTTATGAACTAGGATGTAATCCGTCGGGCCTATTAGAGCAGGAGTCAGGTCTAGTGGGTGGAGCAGGTGTCCAGTTTAGAGAACAATGCCAAGGGTCAGCACCAGAGTCAATTGCCAGAGCCAGGGGTCAAGCCAGAGTCAGTACCAGGAGTTGAAGCTGAGGGTCAGAGCCAAGGTCAGATACCAAATGCCAGAGCCAAGGGTCAAGACAGACTCAGGGTTAGAAGTCTGAGGCCAGGGTTGGAGCCAGGACTGGTAACTGATGATTGGAAGCGAGGTGTAACTGGCAGAACAGGAGGAGAGGCAAGGATCAAGCACAGAACAGGAGCACAGTATAGGGGTGAAAGGAGGGGTGATGCAGAAGCCAGGAGTGGAGCAGGAATCAGGAACAGGGTTGGGTGCAGGAGACAGGCACAGAATGCAATGGTGAAAAGACAGGACCTACAATTGTTTCTAAGAAGTTCCAAATTCCAGCCTTGCTTTGCCATAGCTTATTTTTCAGAAAAAAAGTCAATGCACTTTGGAATTAAACAAACCGCTACATAGAATCAATTCTCACAAACATTAAAAATCAAAAGTCTGATTTCTATATTAACTGCCTACAGTTAATGTGACACTGCACCAGAAATCATTTGTACAAATATATTTCTTCCATGATTGTTCTATTTATGTAGAGGATGAACAAACAAGGAAATTCCAGTACAGTAACTATAAAATATGGAGGGTTTTTGGGTATACACACACAGCTAATAAAGCTTTGGAGGTCACAGTGCTCCCTCTTTCAAGATTAATAGGTATAATCATGGCCTATTTCCTCAAGCCTGTAAAAGTGTCAGTGACTAGAAACCCACAAGAGCTCTATTAATACCTAATGCTGAAATAAATCAGGTGCCCAACTACAGCCCTGTAATTAAGCCATTACACTTCTAGAGTCTTTGATCCTTTCTTGAAAATGAAGAATATAGTGCTAAAATATACCATAAGAATAATGAAGAGGAGTACTTGTGGCACCTTACAGACTAACAAATGAAACCTGTCATAAGAATAATGATTCCTTACCAGAACTTCATGCTACAACCTGACTCAATACTAATATTAGGATGACCAGGCAGATTTTGGAGGAGGCTGTTGTGAAGGATGAACATTTATTCAAGTTTTAAAATCTAGTTGCATTAATTCATCATATATGCTTGGCTTGTATTATTTACTGTTTATTTTCATTTCACACTGAAAAACATCAGAATTATAAATATTCAGGAATAAGTGTGAATGTTAAATTGTGAAGGACCTGAAGAAGAGCTCTGTTTAAGCTCAAAAATTTATCTTTCACCAACAGAAGTTAGTCCAATAAAAGATATTACCTCACCCACCTTGTCTTTTTAATATCCTGGGAATAACAACATAAGAACGGCCATACTGGGTCAGACCAAAGGTCCATCTAGCCCAGTATCCTGTCTTCCGACAGTGGTCAATGCCAGGTGCCCCAGATGGAATGAACAGAACAGGTAATCATCAAGTAATCCATAACATAGGTACAATATCATGGGACAACTACTGAAGATATTACAATGCCATTATATAAATCAAGGATATACCCTCACCTGAAAAACTGTATTCAGTTCCAGTCACCCAGTTTTAAGAAGAAGGAGATAGCAAACACAGCAGTCCAGAGAAATCCACAGAAAATGGTTATAAGGAAAGAAAGACTTCCATACAGGCCAAAGTCAAAAATTTTGGACTGTTTAGTTAAGAGAGCAAAAAGATAAGAGGGGATGTGATAGAGGAATAAAAAAATGTTACTTAGGGTTACCATACGTCCGGATTTCCCCGGACATGTCCGGCTTTTTGGTGCTCAAATCCCCGTCTGGGGGGAATTTCCAAAGAGCCGGACATGTCCGGGGAAATAGGGAGGCATAAGCCAGGGTCTGCCCAGCACGATCCGCTGGGTCCGCAGCGCAGCCCAGCTGCCCCGGCTACAATGCTCAGGTGGGGAATGGAGGGGGGGGGGGCGCTCTGGCTTCCCTCACGGGCGGGGACAGACAGGCCAGGGAACGTGCTCGGCGGCAGGAAGGAAGCTGTGGCCAGGGCTGCAGGGACACGCACCGCCGAGCGTCTGAAGCCCCCAGCAGGCAGAGGCTGCCGGGAGAGCAGGGCAGGCAGGGGCATAGAGGCTGCAGGGGCAGGGGGGTGCAGGGGCTGCAGGACGAGTGGGGAGCAGGAGTCTCAGAGGCTGCAGGGGCTGCAGGGCGAGTGAGGAGCAGGGGTCACAGAGGCTGCAGGGGCGGGGGTGCAGGGGGTGCAGGGGCAGGGCATTCGGGGGTGCAGGGGCTGCAGGGAGAGTGGGGAGCAGGGGTCAAAGAGGCTGCAGGGGCGGGGGGGCTGCAGGGCGAGTGGGGAGCAGGGAAGCACTTAGCAACCTCCAACCAAGATCAGAGCGGGAGGGAGGAAAGGGAATGCAGAGTACTCAGAGGAGGGGGCAGAATTGGGGCAGGGACTTTGGAGCAGGATTGAGGATCTGAATCCTAATTTCAGGCAAAGAAACAATGGGGAAAAAATAAAATTGCCAGTAGGTTATAAATGGTTGTATACTCAGTGCAATTACTAAAATAAAATAAGTTTTAGAAATCAATGCTTTAATTTAGTACTGATTTTCAAGGAGGAAGTTTTGTTAACTATTCTTACACTGCAAAACTATTTTTACACTGCAAAATAAGCTGCAGTTAGAAAGTACACTAAATGTTCTGCATTTGCTTTCAGTAATTTGGGACACTGAAGAGATATAATGTACCTTAAGGTTAAACTCATAAATGCACTCTGGTTAGCTTACCCTATGCTTTTTCTCTCATCTGATAAACTTACATCATATCCACTGTTGCGGATCCCACGCCTTGGTCTCTCCCGGGTAACTAAAAGATCCATCTCGGTTTCTCCTGGGCTAGGGCTGTTCAGAGACTGTCTGCTTCTGTACACAGAGTTCTTTGTCTGCTGCCTGGAGAAAATCCAATGAGAAAATATTAAAATGAAGGCAAAGCACAAAAATAAATGACAGACAGTATTCTGCAATTATAACCTTTATTCTAACATTATCTTAGTTATTACAAAAGAGCCACTTTAATAGGATACCCTTTCTATACACACAAGTGCTGGAAGAAGGCAAAATTACAGAAGAGATTATTATATATTTTGTTTTCTGTTATTAAAACACCAGAGCAAAGGGCTAAAGAGCACAGGAACCATAAACTGGAGCTGCCCAGCTCCAAGTGAATACCAGGATCCTTTGTGGTTTATAGCTGATAGGATTTAAAATAATTACTTGTAACTAACATTTGTTTGTCAGTTCAATGAGTGCTGCAGGTGCTGAGAAACTTTGAAAATCATTTTATTTAGATGCCCAAGTATGGGTTTAGGTGCTTAGCTTTAAACACCTACATTTGAAAACTGTGACTATGGGCAAGTAATTTAGGAACAAAGAATACCACCAGCAAAACCAGGATTAGAACTCAAGAGAAGTGAATTATCATTGGGCCTGATCCTCAGCCCTTCCTCCCTTTCCAGATGCCTGCTGCACTAGCAGGACATCTTGAGGATTTCCCTGAGTAGAGGAATCTATATGTGGAGGAAAGCCCATGCACCACTTCTATGTCACCTGCTCCCAGCCCACCAGGCATAGATGGGAAGAGATGAAGTTTAAGCAGCTTTTTCTGCAACTTCTGTGGTCTAACTGGGTAGCTATGTCCGCTTTACACCACCCCATTCTCAACCCCTCAGGCTGGAGAGAGCAGGGGGCTCCGCACTCAAGCTGATCCCTGACTGGGTCAGTCCCTTAGGTGCTATTATGATATGAGGCTGCTCCAAGTTGCAACCCCAGGATCAGTATAGTGCAAAGCTCCCCGCCCTCAGACAATGGATAACCAAGTACACAAACTATTGTGTAATCACAGAGTTTAGGGCAGAAGTAACCCCCAGATCATCTAGTCTGACCTTCTGTATATCACAGGCCACCAACATCATCCAGCACTCACACACTTAACCCAACGACTGACACTAGACCAACAGAGGGAGTTTGTCTGGAATCTATCCGAGAGGAGGTACGCTAAGTGCTGCATTAGGGGGGCTGTGTTGGTGAGTATCTGAGTGTCTGTTGCGGGGACAGTTTGTCAGTTTGACCATGTGCTTGATTGTTTGTTTGAAAAGTGTGAATTGGGAGTGCTTTGTTCCAGATGGGCCTTGAGTGGGCCTGACTGTTATAAAAAGGCAGTCAGCAGCGAAGCAGCTGAGCGGCGAACAGCGGAGGCTAACAGAGGGAGTTTGCCTGGGGAGAGCCCACTGAGGCTTTTATCTTGCGGGCTTCTGTGAGTTGCTGCAACAGCTGAGGAAGCTCTTAGAAGGAAGAAATCATGGAAGGTGAGCATTCAGTTGTTGTAACCTGCACAGGTTGTGCCATGTTTGTCTTTCTTCCACAGGACAGAAGTGACTTTGTCTGTACAAAGTGCAAGCTGGTCTCCATATTGGAAAAGAAGGTTCGAGGTCTGGAGAAACAAGTATCGACCCTGCGTTACATACGAGAAAATGAAGATTTCTTCGACAGACGTCAGGATATGCTTCTATGGGCACAACATTCTGAAGAATCAGAGCAGGCTGCGCAGAGGGGACAGAGGGATGGTGCAGAAATTTGGCAGCACATGACCTCCAGAAGAAGAAAGAGGAGCATCCATGTATCAGCAATGGAGATACAGGTGAGCACCCGTTTTCATGTTCTCTCCACAGGTACTAATGCAGAGAGTGGAGTGATACATCTGAGGGAAGGGAGCAGAAGGAGATTCCTCCTGAGATGCACTGTCCTAGGGATGGGGGTTCCACGGCCACCGCTCCCAAGAGAAGGAGGCAGGTGGTGATGGTTGGGGACTCCCTCCTCAGGGGGACTGAGTCATCTATCTGCTGCCCTGACCGAGAAGTCTGCTGCTTGCCAGGAGCTAGGATTCACGATGTGACGGAGAGACTGTAGAGACTCATCAAGCCCTCGGATCGCTACCCCTTTCTGCTTCTCCACGTGGGCACCAATGATACTGCCAAGAATGACCTTGAGCGGATCACTGCAGACTACGTGGCTCTGGGAAGAAGGATAAAGGAGTTTGAGGCACAAGTGGTGTTCTCGTCCATCCTCCCTGTGCAGGGAAAAGGCCTGGGTAGAGACCGTTGAATTGTGGAAGTCAACGAATGGCTACGCAGGTGGTGTCGGAGAGAAGGCTTTGGATTCTTCGACCATGAGATGGTGTTCCAAGGAGGAGGAGTGCTAGGCAGAGACAGGCTCCACCTAACAAAGAGAGGGAAGAGCATCTTCGCAAGCAGGCTGGATAACCTAGTGAGGAGGGCTTTAAACTAGGTTCACCGGGGGAAGGAGACCAAAGCCCTGAGGTAAGTGGGAAAGTGGGATACCGGGAAGAAGCACGAGCAGGAGAGTGCAAGAGGGGAGGACTCCTGTCTCAGACTGAGAAAGCAGGACAATCAGCGAGTTATCTTAAGTGCCTATACACAAATGCAAGAAGCCTGGGAAACAAGCAGGGAGAACTGGAAGTCCTGGCACAGTCAAGGAACTATGATGTGACTGGAATAACAGAGACTTGGTGGGATAACTCACATGACTGGAGTACTGTCATGGATGGATATAAACTGTTCAGAAAGGACAGGAAAGGTGGAGGAGTTGCACTGTATGTAAGAGAGCAGTATGATTGCTCAGAGCTCCAGTATGAAACTGCAGAAAAACCTGCAAGTCTCTGGATTAAGTTTAGAAGTGTGAGCAACAAGGGTGAAGGTCATGGTGGGAGTCTGCTATAGACCACCAGACCAGGGGGAGGAGGTGGACAAAGCTTTCTTCCGGCAACTAGCAGAAGTTACTAGATGGATGAGCACAAGTCCATGGGGCCGGATGTGCTGCATCTGAGGGTGCTAAAGGAGTTGGCGGATGTGATCGCAGAGCCATTGGCCATTATCTTTGAAAACTGATGGCGATCGGGGGAGGTCCCGGATGACTGGGAAAAGGCTAATGTAGTGCCCATCTTTAAAAAGGGGAAGAAGGAGGATCTGGGGAACTACAGGCCAGTCAGCCTCACCTCAATTCCTGGAAAAATCATGGAGCAGGTCCTCAAGGAATCAATTCTGAAGCACTTAGAGGAGAGGGAAGTGATCAGGAACAGTCAGCATGGATTCACCAAGGGCAAGTCACGCCTGACTAACCTAATTGCCTTCTATGAGGAGAAAACTGGGTCTGTGGATGAGGGGAAAGCAGCGGATGTGTTATTCCTTGACTTTAGCAAAGCTTTTGATATGGTCTCCCACGGTATTCTTGACAGCAAGTTAAAGAAGTATGGGCTGGATGAATGGACTATAAGGTGGACAGAAAGCTGGCAAGATCGTTGGGCTTAACGGGTAGTGATCAATGGCTCCATGTCTAGTTGGCAGCCTATTTCAAGTGGAGTCCCCCAAGGGTCGGTCCTGGGGCCAGTTTTGTTCAATATCTTCATTAATTATGTGGAAGCAGAGAAAGAACTGACGGGAAGGGGATGCAATGCATGACAGTTCTTTCTCTGCTTCCACAACGATCTGGAGGATGGCGTGGACTGCACTCTCAGCAAGTTTGCAGATGACACTAAACTGGGAGGAGTGGTAGATACGCTGGAGGGTAGGGATAGGATACAGAGGGACCTAGACAAATTAGAGGATTGGGCCAAAAGAAACCTGATGAGGTTCAACAAAGACAAGTGCAGAGTCCTGCACTTAGGATGGAAGAATCCCATTCACTGTTACAGACTAGGGACCGAATGGCTAGGCAGCAGTTCTGCAGAAAAGGACCTAAGGGTTACAGTGGACGAGAAGCTGGATATGAGTCGACAGTGTGCCCTTGTTGCCAAGAAGGCTAACAGCATTTTGGGCTGTATAAGTAGGGGCATTGCCAGCAGCTCGAGGGACGTGATCATTCTCCTCTATTCGACATTGGTGAGGCCTCATCTGGAGTACTGTGTACAGTTTTGGGCCCCACACTACAAGAAGGATGTGGAAAAATTGGAAAGAGTCCAGCGGAGGGCAACAAAAATGATTAGGGTGCTGGAGCACATGACTTATGAGGAGAGGCTTAGGGAACTGGGCTTGTTTAGTCTGCAGAAGAGAAGAATGAGGGGGGATTTGATAGCTGTTTTCAACTACCTGAAAGGGGGTTCCAAAGAAGATGGATCTAGACTATTCTCAGTGGTACCAGAAGACAGAACAAGGAGTAATGCTCTCAAGTTGCAGTGGGGGAGGTTTAGGTTGGATATTAGGAAAAACTTTTTCACTAGGAGGGTGGTGAAGCACTGGAATGGGTTACCCTAGGGAGGTGGTGGAATCTCCTTCCTTAGAAGTTTTTAAGGTCAGGCTTGACAAAGCCCTGGCTGGGATGATTTAGTTGGGAATTGGTTCTGCTTTGAGCAGGGGGTTGGACTAGATGACCTCCTGAGGTCCCTTCCAACCCTGATATTCTATGATTCTATGATTCTATGATTACAGCCCACAGGAGCCTAAATTATTATTTGCCACAGGGAGAGAACAGGAGGGACCAAGGTGCAACAATGCCTGAGGCCCCTGCAATGGTAGGGAACTGATTGAGATATATTCAGATAATCTCATCAAATGACCCACTCGCACACACCGTAGAGGAAGGTGAAAAAACCCCAAGGTCACTGCCAATCAGACCTGGGGGGAAATTCTTCCTGACCCATATGACAATCAGTTAGACTTTGAGCACATGAGCAAGAACTAGACAGCCACGCACCTGAGAAAGAGAGAGAATGCTCAGTCCCACCTCAGAACCCTGGCCCACCCCAACCAGTGAGAGAGAGAGAGAGACACACACACACAATTATAAATGTAATAAGCAGCAGTTAAAGCACTCCAGCTGCCTAGCCATTGTCAAGTGTTTCGAGGGCATCAGAGGAGACGTGAGTTTTGACAGATCTGAAGGAGGTTACTGGAATGATTGGTTACTGGGGATCTCCTCCCAATAAATAAGGGACGGCATGGTAGAAAGTGTGAAGGTTTTTGTGGTGAGATTTGACTAAAGGGCAAAAAAGGCTGGCATCATAGATGGAGCTGAGGGCTTTATGGCAGACAACAGTTTTTAGTACGGTAAAGCTAAACCGTGAATGACCTTAACCGTTTTGTCTTAAAAGTAACTGTCTTGACTTGAAAATAGCCATATATGAAAAAATCAACAAAAATTAGAGGCATGGAAAGACTTCAATATTAGAGAGATTGAAAAGATCAGAACTACTTCGGATAGAGCCACACAGGAGAGAGATATGAAATAGAGAGTGGCACAGAGTCCAATCAAGTACTGCTATTTACCCTTTTATATGCTACAAGAACAAGGGGACAGTCAATGAAACTAAGAGACAACACATTTAAAGGACATACTTGATAAAAGGAAACACTCATTTACACGATGAGGAATTAGTCCATGGAACTTACCACCACAATGTATACTTGAATCAAATAGATTAGGAGAATTCAAAAAGCACTGGACATTTGCCTGAGTAGTAAGACTATCACCCAGTTACACTAGCTAGGATGAAATATTTAAAGTATATTAACCATCAAGCCTAAGGCCCTGATTCAACAAAGCGCTGAAACACATGCTTCAGTGTAAGGGTGGGATTTTCAAATGCACCTATAACTTAGGAGAAGTTCCTTCCTAACCCACTATTGAGTCCTGATTCCGCAAAGCTCTTGGAATTTTCAGAAGTGCCTAAGGGATTTAGGAGCACAAGTCCCACTAAAAGTCACTTGTGCTCTTAAATTGCTCAGACACTTCTGAAAATTCCAAGTCCCTTGCTGAATCAGGGCTCAATAGTGGATTAGGAAAAAACTTTCCCAATAGAGATATTATTAGACAGTTGTTTATTATGGGGGTTTATCCACCTTCTTCTGAAGGCTCTGGTGCTGGCCGCGGCCGGAGACAGGATATGGGACCAGATGGACCATGGATCTGATCTAATATGGCAATTCTTATGTTCCTAAATTAAAGACATTTAGAATTACATGTGTTTCTTTCAGAAGGACAACAAACATTTCCTCCTGCTTATATAGTTAGAGACACATTTTCTAAAAGATTCACACATTTAGTGCTTTAATAAATGCACACCCTTGGCCTGATTACACACCACGCAGGGAAAAACTGAGAACCATGCATGCGATCAGCAAGGTTTTTAAAAATTGCCCTGAGATTGCCAATTAGCTGATTTAAGGAAGATTCACTAATGAGAAGGGAGGTATCAACATTAACAACTGACAATCACATGGTGTGTGTCTTCTGGGAACACAACTGCAGCATTTTGAAGCATGAATTAGATGCACAGAATGCTCAAAGCAACTGAAAGCATGGGGTGTTGGTTCTTGTACAAACCAAATTATTTAGTGATGGTGGTGTTTTGTAAACAATTTTAAAATGCTGTTTTTCACAAATCTGAATATATAAAGGTCAGCCTGAAGAATGCATTTAATTTATTTTTTCCTCCCATAACATTTTGGAAGTGACATACATATAATTAATATTAATGGTAGCTATACCAGTGGAACAAGAGGGAAACATGCCATTTTCTCCAGGAACTGTGAAATCTTTATTCTTTTACCTACTTCTACAGTATCTTATCTTTAAAAATGTGAACTATTTTAAGATATAGGTTTTTAATTGAATATCAATATCTGGACAATGATACAAAGCAAGCTGTATTAGTCTTATGCTAAACTAGACTGCTGTAAGAGTGATTGTTTTTATTATAAAAATTCTATTATATCAGTTCATCTCTCAGAGAGTTGCACTACGTTGCAATATCACGTTACTGTATTCATCCAATAATGTGTCACTTTGGCTATCTTATATTCTGTTAAAAAAAAATGCCCGAAGCTGGAAAATGTCCTGCAGCATATCAAGTTAGGTATCTACAGCAAATCTGTCATTCTAGATGTTGGTATGGGGACCATAAAACTGGTTGTTTGCAAGAAACAGTAAGTTTTTCTGACAGGTAACAAAAATTCCCAAATTTTGAAAATGCCTGACATCTTTACAGAAAGTGCATCAGGGAATGATCCCTTTGTTTTTAGTTCCCATAGCCCAGGTCTACTCAGCAAGTATCTCTAGTGTTTGTACAATTAACATTTAATGGCTCAGCCCCAGAAGGCAGAGAGATCATTCCTTGACAGTTCAGAGTACTTGCCTTGATGCAGTTTTTCATAACAATGAACTTTGTCTAAAATAGCTTACCCATTGGTTTACACAATTCATTAGAAAGTATACTTAGAAAAACAAAAATATTCCAGGATCTGTCAGCAAAGAGTAGATGGTTAATATTAAAGCTTCATATATAATGTTCTAAACGTTTCCCCACACCACTTAGGGTACATCATAAATATCCAAAATATGGCTTCAGTACTGCATTGTTTGTATTGTTCACATTAATATTCATGTTTCTAAGGCCTCATTTATATTCTCAGGACAGATTGTGCTAATAAAAATAGGATTACTGTAAAATGCTAATATTCACATTCAATATCTTACCTTTTCTATGCATATGTAACAATGTATTCCTCCCACACTGAATTCCTGTTCAAGGAACTGATGCCCCAGACCCTTCAGCAAGGACACTAGATACAATTTAATCAGAATCTTTTTTCTTCATTGACCTAGCAGTAAACCCCTGGGACAAGGGTTCTCAAACTTCACTTCCCACTCTCTCAGGACCCTCACATAAACAAGCTCATTTGTCTACAGCTATTGCTTATATTCCAAGACAAGCTCTTTTAGAATCCTTCCTACAATCTCTCTCACCTGTGCAATGCGGGAGCATGCCGACTGTGCTGCCACTCCCAACAAGGCCGGCTCTACTAGTTGGTGAGGGGTGGGCTTGGCATGACCTCCTCGCTTTGTAAGGCAACTTGTGCTCCAGGGACACTAATGGGGGAACTTAGTGCAGACCAGAGCCTGCAAGTATGGCCAGCCGCTGTGCAATGCGTATAGATGGGGCTCTTTGCACTCTCCTCCACTAGTACATCTCTGTGTCCAAGAATGAAAGCTCTCCATTTATATATTGCCGCCAAGGGCCATAAAGTGCCACACAAATATTGATGATGTCTCACAATATCTTTAATCATTTTAGAGATGAGTAAATTATGTCAAAGATTAAATGACCTACCCAAGATCACAGAGCAATGAAGTGAAGAAAGCACCGTAGAAAGTGGTCACCATTAACTGCTGAAGGAGATACTGAAATCAACAGACATAACGGTGACATGTTCTAATTTGCTGGGTCTAAGTTACCTGTATCTTAGATCCAGCTCTGGAAATAATTACAGGTATGCCTAGAACAAAATGATAGATTGGATCACTCCTGCACTTTGCAGAAGATCGGAGTCAAATGCAAAATTCTGGCTCAAGTCCATTTCTAGAATAATCAGTCTTTTGAATAATAACCTTAGTACATTTTCAGCTTGGATCACTTTAAAAATGGCTCACAAAAGACCTGGAACCATGCAGCCTTCAAGTAATTTTGTTCTCTTTCCACTTATTCTTCTGTAACCATGTTATGGTTTTACTAAATGTGAAACATTCAGAAATAATCTTGGGCAACATCAATTTTCTTCATGAAATTTGCACTGAACAGCACTGAACAGATTAAACATTAGTATGTAATACACATTTTCATCATCAGTGATCGATGTTTGCACTTCAGATGAGTCTTCTGCCCTTCAGCCCTGGGGAATACCTACTTTCTAGATGTAAATAAAAACAAAAACATCTCACCTGTTCTTAGGCTCTGCAAATGGAGAAGATACATCTGCCTCTGGTTCCAAAACATGGTCTATTTCCTTTTGTGCTTTCTCGTATATCTTTTTTCTTTCTGTCAGCCCTCTGTTGTTGTCAATCTGGGGGAAATCATAGTATCCTTTTCTCTTGGCTTTCAAGCGCAGCTTGTTGCGATAGTGCTCTATATCGGACTTCTGCTTCAAGGCTTTGTTTACCTAATGGAAGGTGAATGAATTTCAGATGACTGTGCCATGCTGATGATTTCTCAATTACATTTTAAAAGTGTATTTGATGTGCAGCGCTTTGCTTTGCAGAGCGCCTCTTGCACCACACCATGCCATCTGTCAGCACTAGGGAAGTGCAAGTGACAGAGTCATTGTATTTTGTATGACTTGCAGATGATTAAACACATTTTAGTCCCCTGGAACTAAGTACATCATAGTAGTGACTCAATTCACAGCCACAGAAGAAGAGAGCTAATGTCAGCCAACCATCTTCTTGACCCAAACAATGTTTATTTTTAGGGAGGCCTGGGGGCAGTATTCTGTATATTTGAACAAATTTCACTTCTGCCCCAAAGTTGACTGTGTAAAAAAATGTCTACTTTAGCTACTGTTTGTAGCTAAAAAGTCAAATTCTATGATCTCCTTAAGAACTCCATCATATCTGTGAGTATGTAAGGAAATAGCATTTGTATGTTCCTAGGTCTTACTCTGATGATACACAGCTCACAGTTCTTGGAAGAAAAATAGGCATTGAATACTGTGCATGCCATGACTCTGGATATAAAGTGACAATTGTGACACGTTAGGGCTTAAAATACAAGCACAAAACCAGAACATGATATAATGCCCTAATCTGGTCTCACACGGGTAGCTTGACTACGCTGTCTTTTACCGTGTTTCTAACTGGCTAGCAGTTTAAAGTGTTGATTTTGTCCAATAAAGAGTCCAGGCAATATCCTGGTTAGCCTTTACATAAGTGTGCAGCATGGAGGAGCAAATAAGAAGCCTTCCCTCCACATTCGGTATATAAATTCCTCCAGTCCCCTTATAAAGCACTTTGTTCTAGAACAAAATCTAAATAAAAATATTTGTAAAATAATATACCGGGTAAGTCTCAGAGCCAAGATGCGGCATTTGGTCAATGACCCCATTAGATCCCAGTGCAGACCCACATCATTCTATGGGGACCTTGGGAGCAGTTGTGCCTAATGTGCAAGCCAGCACACAAACAGAGCAAAGGAATGGACCTGCTTTCTCCCCATCCCACTGTGAGCAGGAAGGATACTCTAGTTAGCAACAGGGCACTAAGATGGGACTTCTGAGATCTAGGTTCAACTCCCTGCTCAGACTCGAACTTCCTGTGTGAACCTGAAAAAGTATGTCTTAATCTACCCTTTGCCTCAGTTCCCTATTTTCTAAAATGGGGTGCTGGGAAGAGAAAATCCCTTAATGATTGTCAGGTGTTCAAATACAACAGGGATGAGGGCTATAAAAGTACCTAGATAGGTTGCCTCCTTCAGAGCACCATGCATCTACAGGTATGTTAGGAAAGAGTGGGTCCTGACCACAGAGACGGCATTTGTGACAGGATTTTACATAGGCCACACAAAGGGTGAAAGGCTTCTAACATTTCTCCTCTCTCTCTTCAATGCATCAACCTAAGGTCCTATCACAATGTATGCCTCCACATATAAGCAAGAAATCAGCAGGTGAAACACTGTCTGATTACTCTTACCTCTCCATTAATGATAGCAGATTCCTGGCTCCTGTCTGATGCGGGGTGAGCGGGAGGCAATGCTACAGGTTTGATAGCAATCAGCTGTACAGATCCAGAAGATGTGTCAAAGGGATCAATGGCAGACTTGGCGATGTTCTCAAAGAGAATGCCTCCCTCCTCTTCATCACTAAGGGGTACTAAAGCATATTACGTTTATTGAGCATATGCTCTCAATAGGTTTACTACAGGTTCACGTGACAACTAAGTGAACACATGCAATAGATTAATACTGAGGTGCTCAATACACTAGAGAAGTAGACCCTGAAGACTTCCATACTGGAAGAACTCCAGTTAGATTTTAGATGGATGAGAAACTTTCTTCTAAGGGATTGTTTCTGAACATACTCTCCTAAAAGTGGAAGATTGATTTTCAACTATAACATGGAAGGAAAATTAGAAAAAAGATTGATGTAGAACAAATTGTAGGAAAATGATAATGGAGGACAAAAAGCACATCCTTCCATATACTTTATACAAAAGAAGATTGCGTGTGAGTTTTCAAATGCCACGACATGTATAGAAGTATCCAGCAGAATCCCACATTAGCACTTTGGGTCAATCTGAAAATAAAACCACTGATTTTAGCAAGGACTGTAAAGACTATTACTACGAAAGCTGTTAAAATGAAGCACAGTGTTGAGTGTGCAAGTGTGCACAAGTAACTGCGAGTTCCCCAGCTGATGTAATCTTTTGCTTTAGAAAAATAGCACCTCCAGTCATTTCATAAAGTTTGTCAGAATTTGTGACCAGAAAGGAAAAGACTACTAATGTAAAACAACTCTGAATGTTTACAATTAAAAGGCACAGTCAATCCTCTATTTGTAAATCTCTGCTTAAAAGGGGAGCCTTTAAAAAAAACAAATTGGCCATTCCCCGCTAATTTATGTTGGAAAGAGGGCATCCCATTATAAGTTTTTGAAGCCTCTTTATCTTTGTTTTTAAAAAGTTTCCTGTAAGGCATGAGGGCAAATTCTGCAGAGATGCCTCCTTATATAATTGTGCTATGAAAGAAAAAAATGTATTCCATCCGTTTGTGACAGGAGTAGAAATCAGCTTCCATTAAAGAGCAGAGTGGTATGCTCTATATTACTTCCTCTGAAAATATATTCTGTTTAATCTTTAATCACTGAAAGAATTATAATGCACTGAAGGCAACTCAGCAAGAGATAGATTAGCCCTGTTTAAACAACTAAGATAGATAGTTTGGTAAAAATGTTTGATAGAAGTTACATAAAATATGAACCCACTGTATAAGCTTATACATCTTTCTCTGTGTATTCACAGTAGGCTGAGTTGACATGATTTGAACTGTTAAAAAATACAGGTTATATCATGCTGTTACTAAATAATGTCCCTCAGGATTTGTGAAATTGCTCAGATAAAATGGTCTTTATTTTAGTCTACTGGGAACTCCTCTCAGACTTTTACAGAGGGTAGTAAAGCACAGTGCTATGAATTCCGAAGACTCTTATTAGTAAATGGGGTGAAAACCTGGCTCAGTGATGCCAATGGCAAAATTCCCACTGGTTTCAATAGGGACAGAATTTTACGGTAGGAGTATTAGATGAACAATTTAAAGCTTCCATATCATACAGTACTACCTAATAGGAGAACATTTTTAAATGATTATTAAGTCCAGACACTTTTCCCCCCCAGGTATTTTTAATTGCTTAATGCTTGTGTGGCATGTGATTAAACAGCTTTGGAATATGGGTTTTTTAGCTAAATAGCAATATAAACTGCTGTTTAGTCAAAGAACAGTTACAATACTACTTAAGTGCAAGCTTCCTACATGCTGCCATAACAAGGTGCTTCAACTGTGGAGAGACTGCCTCTAAGGGAGAAAAATTAGTTCATTAGCTTTTTGATGGTGGTTTTTGTGAAATGGATAGCGGTACCAAATATTGTACCAAGACCAGAGTTTTATTTTACATACACAATTGAAAGGCTGTCAAGATGGTCATGACTGACTTGATAGTATCCCAGTAACATACATGTACAGAGATACAAAATATGGTAGTAACTCCCTCACCTGCATCATATAGGCCTTGTCTGCACTGGGCCATGAACAGAGATTGAAAACAAGTCTGAACTTTATTTAAACACTATTCCTGCTAAACAAGTTTTAGACGTGGGTTGACTGGCCAGCATTGACTGGACCAAACTGTTCTGAAACCATTTTCAAAAGTTAGTTCCAAACAGGCTCAAATATGGTTTTGTAATGGCTACTTTTTAACAGTTTGATCCAGTCTACACTGTTCAGGCCAATAATATAGGAAAATGTCTTAGCTGGAAGTGTTGTACTTGTTAATTAAGGTCTCAATCCTGCAATGAAGTCCATGCGGACAAAATCCAGCAGCCACACAGACTACAACTGGCTTCAAAATGGCTCAGCATCAGCATTCATCTGGCTGCACAGAACTCATTGCAGGATCTGGACTTAGACTTATTTATCCCCTATTTGTTTGGGTATTGGACACATTTATTCAATGAAAAAAGAAAGGATGAGTACAGAGAATCAAAGGACAGCTACTTTTGTTGTTTTGTATTAGCACAAAGCAAAAATATCATCGTCTCTAAGAGTAGTAAAGTCCATCTTCAGCATCTAGCATAGTGCTATTAGTATGGATAAATTAACTCTAGGGCTGTTAAGCGATACAACGTTAATCGTGATTAATTGTGCAATTAAAAAAATTAATCGTACAATTAATTGCATTGTTAAACAATAATAGAATACCATTTATTTAAATATTTTTGATGTTTTCTACATTTTCAAATACATTTATTTCAATTACAACACAAAATACAAAGTGTACAGTGCTCACTCTATATTTATTTTTGATTACAAATATTTGCACTGTAAAAAACAAAAGAAATAGTATTTTTCAATTCACCTAATACAAGTACCGTAGTGCAATCTCTTTATCATGAAAGATGAACGTACACATGTAGAATTATGCACAAAAAATAACTGCATTCAAAAATAAAACAATGTAAAACTTTAGAGCCTACAAAGTCCAATCAGTCCTACTTCTTTTTCAGCCAATCGCTCAGACAAACAAGTTTGTTTACATTTGCAGGAGATAATGTTGCCCACTTCTTGTTCACATCACCTGAAAATGAGAACAGATGTTCTTATGGCACTGTTGTAGCCGGCATTGCAAGATATTTACATGCCAGATACACTAAAGATTCATATGTACCTTCATGCTTCAACCACCATTCCAGAGGACATGTATGATAATGGGTTCTGATTGATAACAATCCAAAGCAGTGAGGACCGACGCATTTTCATTTTCATTATCTGAGACAGATGCCACCAGCAGAAAGTAGATTTTCTTTTTTGGTGGTTCGGGTTCTATAGTTTCTGCAGCAGAGTGTTGTTCTTTTAAGACATCTGAAAGCATGCTCCACACCTTGTCCCTCTCAGATTTTGGAAGGCACTTCAGATTCTCAAACCTTGGGTCGAGTGCTGTAGCTATTTTTAGAAATCTCACATTGGTACCTTCTTTGCGGTTTGTCAAATCTGCAGTGAAAGTGTTCTTAAAATGAACAAGGTCATCATCTGAGACTGCTATAACATGAAATATATGGCAGAATGCGGGTAAAACAGAGTAGGCGACATACAATTCTCCCATTGTTGTTGTTGGTTTTTTTTGTAGAGAGACAATTCTCCCTATTGTTTTTTTTTTTTTTTTTTTTTTTTGAGTGCAACTATGTAACAAAAAAACCCTATATTGGTAAATTGCACTTTCACAATAAAGAGATTGCACTACAATACTTGTAAAAGGTTAATTGAAAAATACTCAAAAAGAAGAACAGGAGGACTTGTGGCACCTTAGAGACTAACAAATTTACCACAAGTCCTCCTGTTCTTCTTTTTGCGGATACAGACTAACACGGCTGCTACTCTGAAACCTTTGAAAAATACTGTTTCTTTTATCATTTTTACAATGCAAATATTTGTAATAAAAAATAATACACAGTGAGCAGTGTACACTTTGTATTCTGTGTTGTAATTGAGATCAATATATTTGAAAATGTAGAAAAAATCCAAAAATATTTAATAAATTTCAATTGGTATTCTATTGTTTAACAATGTGATTAAAACTGCGATTAATCATGGTTACCGTAATTTTTTTAATCGTGATTAATTTTTTTCAGTTAATCACATGAGTTAAATGCGATTAATCGACAGCCCTAATTAACTCTAATCAAATTGGACCAGAAACTGAATGTTTTTTCCACCCTAACTTAACATTTCTCTATTAAGTGTCATTTGAATCATGAATCTGGCTTTTTCTGTTGCATTTCTTTTCATTGCCGGGTAAGTGATAAAATAGGGATGAGATCTATAGATTTTAGTAATCTGGTGTAATTTAGATAGGCAGTGAACTGCAAGCAAGCACCGTGGCACTTTCACATTTCCTCTCTTTTGTCTTTCTCAGTGAATTCAAGAAGAGTGCTCAGAATCTGATTAATCACAACTCACCATGTCACTATCAGTAATCCAACCAATGGAAGATCACATAGAAAACTACAAGTCTTTGAGGGCTACTTCATCTGCATGTATACAACGTGGTTCAGCACATTCATTTTGTCTCTGAACATGTGGTTGAGGGGAGAGGATGTGAGGATTACAGAACACAAAGAACATTTGGATTATATTTTAATCTTAATAGTCACTCAAAAGGGGGACTTTAATTATAATTAGTGCCTGAAAGGGGGGAAAACTTGCAACAACCCACATCTAAAGCAATACTTTTATTTTGTTGTTTTTAACCAAATGAACATGAATTTAAAAAAATATTGATTATTCTGTCCCTCTTTCCAGATTAAAACAAATACCGACCAGTGTAAATTTGTGGGGGCAGAAAGAAAGGTTACATATACTTACCTACCTGTAATTTTTCCTTCTCTGAAGTTGGCACCTAGTGCTCCATGATCCATTACAATTGGGTTCTTCCTTCTCATCTTCCAAGCATGGAAGCTCTCTTTTTTTAAAAACCCTTTCACTCTAGTTTCAAAATGCAGCACCAGAAGGTGGAGCTAACTCATCATCTCTGTAGTAGAGATGGGAGAGTCTGACCCCACCCCATGGATAGTTGATTCCTTACGCATTTTTGGTCAAACTGAA